GCAATTCATAGATCAGTACCTTATCAGTGAATCCACTTGGCAATTCATAGATCAGTACCTTATCAGTGGATCCACTTGACAATTCACAGATCAATACCTTATCAGTGGATCCATTGCACAATTCACAGACCAATACCTTATCAGTGGATCCACTGGACAATTCACAGACCAATACCTTATCAGTGGATCCACTTGACAATCCATAGACCGATACCTTATCAGTGGATCCACTGGACAATTCATAGACCAATACCTTGTAAGCACTGGAATGGCCTACCTGTCAGTTATACAAGTGAACGCATAAGGTAAGGAAATTGTGTAAGGATGTTGTTCTCAAACAATTTCCAAATCCCAAATTTTACATACGCCATACGATTTAAATTCTAACATCTACAAAACCAATTACTCTAAGACGACGTTGTCAGAGAATATTATTATACTCTGTTTTACCTAAAAGTTATTCGGTTTATTTTCCTGACACCTTTACCTGTCTTTATAGGAAAGAGTTTAATGAATTAATCGACATAAGAGTAAAATCATATGTTACAACATGAAACTGGGGGGGGGGGGGGGCTCAAACCCAAAAGCTTCAGTTTTTAGACCATGCGACTTTCTACCCTAATCACATTAAACCTTCTTGTTATTATCACTCTGCTACTTTTCCGAATAGAGTTGGGAGAATCTGTGAGAGCAAGCATTTTGTCTGTGATTACTTCATCTCAGACATATGGGTCGGAGGCTAAAAAGGGTCTATAGGGATTACAGTTCCCACATCATCGTCATCAGTGCTACAATCTTAAACATAATGGTGTGGGTAGTTTCTCAGAAGGAGTTGGACCCGAGGGAAAGATTTGTGTTAAATGTGGTGTAAATGTTACCAGGATGGCCACAATAGCTTTGGTTCACTCTAATGGAGTTAATTTACAATAACAATTTCTCCAATCCACTGAATAGTTTAGATTTAACCCTTTATAATACAACCTAGTGAATAGTTTAGACTTAACCCTTTATAAGGCAACCTAGTGATTAGTTTAGATTTAACCCTATATAAGACAACCTAGTGAATAGTTTAGACTTAACCCCTAAAAAGACAACCTAGTGAATAGTTTAGATTTAACCCCATATGAGACAACCTAGTGAATAGTTTAAATTCGATGACGAGGAACCCACTTTGAGACTAATAATGGCTGGAGACGGCTTGAATGGGTAATGAAGAAAAACTTTAATATAAGTTTAACATAACAGCAAATGTACAACGTTTCAACAAGGTTTTGTCATCATCGTACCTGATGATGACAAAACCTTTTCGAAACGTTGTACATTTGCTGTTATGTTAAACTTATATTAAAGTTTTTCTTCATTACTCATTCAAGCCGTCTCCAGCCATTATTAACCTAGTGAATAGTTTATCAAGTGTTTTACTCTTTCTATATCGCGTATTTTACTTGAAAACTTTTATACTAAATCATAGTTCTCAGTTATTTTGAAGTAATTAAATACAATTATAATGTGTCTGAACGTCTGCTGTCAAATAATTATGTATTCTGTTAAGAATAAATAGTATTCCATATATCTAACTTACGCTCGCACAACTTATAATAAGCCCTATTTTCAAAATATAAGAGTAAATGATGATCATTTAATCTTAAAATTGCAAATAATCGACGGTTGTTTAATCCTAAAATTCTCGAAATTCTATAGAAATTCTAAACTTTCGAATAAGCTAATTAACATTTTTAACAAAATCGTTTCCATTCATACCAATGCGAAATATTTTATCCTTTTAGTAACAATGACATTATCAAAAGAGCCTGCCTTAGGCCTTTGATTTTATAAAATATCAAGTTTAAGAAAATGGGTTTAAACGTTTTTGTTACTGAATTATCAACAATCATTTAGATATTGGCTTGGTAACTTACTGAATGATATACTAAATTCCTTAAAATATAATATCACAACAATCATTTAGATGTTGCCTTGGTAACTTACTGAATGATATATTAAATTCCTTAAAATATAATATCACAACAATCATTTAGATGTTGCCTTGGTAACTTACTGAATGATATACTAAATTCCTTGAAATATAATATCACAACAATCATTTAGATGTTGCCTTGGTAACTTGGTGAATGATATACTAAATTATTTAGAATATAGTATCACAACAATCATTTAGATGTTGCCTTGGTAACTTGGTGAATGATATACTAAATTATTTAGAATATAGTATCACAACAATAATTTAGATGTTGCCTTGGTATCTTAGCGAATGATATACTAAATTATTTAGAATATAGTATCACAACAGTAATTTAGATGTTGCCTTGGTATCTTAGTGAATGATATACTAAATTATTTATAATATAGGACCATCAACGTTTATTTCTTGTAATATTGAATTATAATTTTTACCTGAACGATATCTTATGCGCATGTGGGCTAAACAGCTAAGTCAGTGACTCTTAGGATGCGAACATAGCCGTTCCTAATTTTGAACTTCTGATCAGAGAGAAGGAAGCAACCACCATTACCCGCCGCCAAAAGGGCTTTGTTTGGCTTTTGCAATCGATTAATGGGAATGACTTCACTGTAGAACGTGGCCATAGATGATTAATGACGTCATTGTAGAACGTGGCCATAGCTGAAAGTGCGGAGCATCTTCAGCTAAATCATGTCTCTATAACTGGACTCTTCGATCCGAAGTCCGACATGTTAACCATTAGGTTTTTTTTTAATGTATATAAAATTTACATATGTTTAGCTTATTGTGATATAAAAACAACACTTTTTCTATATTCAAATATCGCAAAAATACAAAAAAAACTTATATTTAAATACGTAT